TGAAAATTGAGACATTTTTATCTCCTGAAAGCTTGATGTTCATATACCTGGCACATATGAATAGACCTTTTGCAGCAAATATCTCAGTACATCTTGCTTATTTCAATAGCAAAGATAAGTTTAGAATGGTGGATAAAGAAATGCATCAGTAAATAAATACTCGTTTAATAACAAACATGAATCAAGCATTATGTAAATGGTCTGTTCCCACACTTGCCCCTTTACAATTCGTTCTCTACACAGCAACCAGAGTGACTTCTTAAAAAACATAAATTAGGTAATGTCATTACTGGGCGTAAAACCTTCCAATGGCTTCCTATTACACTAAGAATAATATCCATACTTCTTGCCTGGCCTTCAAGGTCCTTCATGATCCGGCCTCTGCCTACTTCTTTGACTGGTTTTCCCTTTACTCATTCTACTCTAGTTGCAATGGCTTTCTTTCAGCTCTGCAACACACTATCATTTCTGTCTTCCGATTTTTGCATGAGCTGTCTCCTCTACTTAGAATGTTGTTTCCCCATGGCAGGTCTCCACCCAATGTCACAGCCTCAGAGAACGCTCACCTTACCACCCTAAATTTGCCTTGCTCTCACTCACTGTCTTTACTTTATTTTATTTAGGAAATCGAATAAGGTTTCATGGAGGTGGTAGCATTTAGCCTAGGTCTTATAGGCTATGTAAGAGTTTACTGGGGAACAAATGTGGAGAGGTACATTCTAGGTGGAGAGAAGAGCTTATGCCAAAGCAAGAGGGTGTGAAAGAACTCAGTATATTTGGAAATAATGAGTAAGAGTGAGTAGGAAAGTATGGCTGGAGTTTTAAGTATGTAGGGAAGAGTCAGTGGCAAGATGGCTAGAAAAGCAGATTGAGACCAGACTGTGAAGGAATAAATGTGTCTGCAGGTTAAGGAATTTTGCTTTGTCCTAGTAATAGTGGGTCAGCAACACTTTTTAAGTAAAGAAGTAACATGGTAAAATTTGAATCTTAGAACAGTAAACTCTTGTCACAATGTAGAAGATAACTTGGAGGAGAAAAAATAGAGAGATTTTTGTCCTAAGATTCTAAAATTTGGGACTCCCGATTCATATCCTAAATTTATTTAATGATTCCTATTATATTCCCTTTCATACTGCTGAACTAATTCTCTTAGCTTGTCTACACGTAGTGTTGTCTCTCTGTCTTTTGTTGAGTTAGTTGCTTTTTTTCTGGGCATTTCTTAAGGTCTGGTGACCTGTCACACACAGTATTTAGGTGTCAGAAGGACATGCTAGTGCTTTCTGATTGATTTTAAATGCCCTTCTCAGTGATGTCTTACATTTTGCCAGACTTTTTATTTGATGAATTTGTTTTGTGAATTGATTCCTATGAGGCAACCATAAGTTCTATGGATTGGATGAGCTTCGTTTTCTAGACTTTTAATTTACAGGGAGGAAAATCTATTTATGGTATTCAGGCATTTATTTTGTCAGGCACTGTGCATGGTTCTACAAATTTAAAGATAAATAAAGACTGTCTTTGCCTTCGAGAAATTCACAGTATAGTAAAAGAAGTCAGATAATTTTTTTAAATGACGTAAGTGTTTATCTAAGTGCATAGTCGAGGCCAAAGGAAGGCGCTGCTATTTTTGCACGCTAACAAGAAGAATCAGAAAATCTTCCCTTTCAAGTTTTATAAAAGTGTAATTCCCAACTCTTTTTGCAGCATTTGAAAACATAAAATAACAAGAAGGTACAAGTCTGTAATCTCTTTTAGGCTTCAGTTTAATTTAAGCCATGTCCTCTTAATCACTTTCTCATAATGCATTAGTTATTCTTAACAGTCCAAGAGTTTGTGGACGTTTCTTTTTCTTTGCGAATTCTCCCAAAGATCTGGTCTGTTAAACCATGGCAGTCCAAAATGGCTTGTCTGTAAATAACATTTTTAATTTAAACATGTTAATCCCATACAATGACATCTCAGTTTCTGCTTTGCTGTTAAGGAAGATAAGTCTTTTTAAAAGAGCCTGGTGACTCAGAATGAATTTCTTGACCTGCATTTCTTAGTAGCTACTTTGCCTTTAGCATCTTTTCTGCTTGAGGAGTTGATAAAAGCTTGTCCTAGTTTCTCCAACCTGTTTTGTAGCAATAATTCAGCCTGAATTGTTTCTTTTTTTATTGCTTCCTACAAGTTTAAAACCATTTAGTACATTTATGTTTGCTTTTCTGTAGTTTTCAATTCCAGGGAGGATTTTCTTCCCAATTAATCTCTTCATAGGTCCTTGGAAGAGCCAAAGATGTATATTAATTTTCTATTTATAATTAGGAATTATGATCTGATAAGTTGACATCTCAACATATCCTCTCTCGTAGGTGTTTCCTCAATTGTTTTGAATCTGCTGTTTCCATTCTTTATGTTGTAATACTTTAATATTCATGCCCCCTCTATGTTTTGGTCAATTTCATGTCACCTGTTTATTTTCAGGATTGTGGAGTTGTCTTCTGATTTACTGGATGATTATTTGCTTAGATAAAATTTTCAGAAATACATTACGATAATTTAAGAACTTGAAAAGCCCATCTAAATTGAAGGCTGACTTTTTTTTTTCTTTTCTTAACATGCAACGGGGTCACAAAAATACACTTGGCTTTAATAACGCTTGTGTATTTCCACTCTTCTTAAGACCTATGTTTTGTATGTTTCACTGAAAATTTTCCTCCACCACTGATGTGTTGCCAAAATCTATTATCATGTAATCTATGGTAGCAGAGAAATCTAAAAGTAGTGGCAATTTCTTGGGAAAAACAAACACTATCTGGAAGGTCATCACTTCTGCTTAAGGAATATTTTAAAGATTTTGAAGCCACTAATTTATTTTCAGGTTATAATACATGTCTGTTACAGAAAAATTTTGAGAATATGGGAAAGTATAAAGAAGAAAAGTACAAACGGTCAGTAATTCTACCATCAGTAAAAGGTTACCTGTTATTTCTATGGAACCTCAAATTTTCTTGAAGCCTTAGTCTAGCAACCACCTACCCTTTTCTAAGTCTTCTTCTTCAATAGACTGCTCAGGACATTAAGAATGGAAGACTGACTTTAAATATAAGGGTCCTTAGGATTTTTATGGAAGGGATGGAGCTGTAGGAAAAATCTACAAATCGCTCCAGAGATGACATCTTGTTCTTATTTAGCTTTCTTTGAGTCATTAACAGTCGGGCGCCACTGGTGCTGAAACTTGTCATTATTATAACCGCAAATGGGTTAATGCCCAAACAAAGTTATATTCTTGGGGCTGGTTCCCAGCTCCACCACACAGACCTCAGCAACAGCACCCTCCAAGTCCCTGGACAATGCTTCACAAATAAGAGGATGTCAAATGTTCAGCCTAGACTCAAAATTTTCTTCTTTTATCTGGGAGCTACCAGTTGCTGGCAGGGCAGAGCAAAAGGAAAAATAAATAAATAAAAACCAAGCCAACAACCCCTAAAAAAAGAGACTGCGTGGTTTAGTGGTCAGACCACTAGCCTGGAGGTTGGGATAGTTGCGATCCAGTTCCAGCCCTCCCACTGATTGGCTGGTTGATGCTAGACAAGTCATTTTCATGATATGTTCTTCGGTTTTCCTATACTTAGACAAGGGAGAGATGTCTTAGAAAGTTCTTATGGACAAATAAAATGATCTGCAAATAGCTTCAGATTGCTTGAAAATAAAATGAAATCGTAATCCTTAATACTTAATTACTGTCCTATAACTTTATTAATAATATAGTAGTAATAAGCCACAGGTGTGAAAATAATGAAACTCCCATTAGGGCAGAGAAAGAAGGCAAATACTTTTTTTATCTAATTTGCATCAAATATCAAATCAGTAAATTCATTATCTCAAGATAATAAATACTGCTTTTACTTTGGATCTGTCCCTTTATCTTTATCGCATCCAAACTCAGAGTGACTCACAGGAGCCTAGAAATGAGACACATATACAATTTTAAGGGAAAGGGAGAATTAGGAGGTTTGAAGCTCCTGCTGTAGGAGGCTAAGAATAGACCACTTAGAATACAAAGAGAAGAACCTTCTCTTTCCTTTTCCTCCCAATGTAGGTGGTCCACTGGTTTCCCAGTCATTCCCTTTGATAGCAGGATTTTTGTTTTCACAAAACCTCACCTTGTTTTTTTTGGAGGGGGTGGGGCAGGGGGCTAGCTAAAAAAATGAGAACAGAATGACTTTTTCTAACAGGTTTAAACTGTGACAGTGCTACAGACCAATGCCCTGTGTTGGGAGTGGAGGGAAGCAAAAAGAGAAATATCTGGATCTCTGAGAATTTGAAAACCAATAAATGTTCTCCCCTCTTAAAGAAGCGAGCTTTTAGGCATATGAGGGAAAAAATCTAATAGGTGCTCTGGTTTGTGTACCATCTCCCCTTGAGAAGTGAAATGTCTAGGCAGGAAAAAAGAAAGACATTGGAAAGGGTACCAAATAAGTAAGGGATGGGATTGGAAGCAGGGACTAAAAGTAAAGAGGAATTTGAGAGAATGTCAATGAACTCTTGGAGAATTTAACGAGCACTTTCTGTGTGTCCAGCCTTGTTAGCGGCAGAAAACACACATACATACCTGACCTCAAGGAACTGCCAAGATATACGCACGTGAAAGCACTTTGTAGCAACTAACGATAAGAAATAATAAAGAGCTAAAAATATAATATTAAGAGCTAATAATGTAATATTAAATATTTATGGAAATTTAGGGATGACAGCCTGTGTGTTAGGACAACAGCTGTATAAAACAGGAATAGCTATGAAATTCAAAAACTGAAGATATGGAGGGCTGGCAATAATTCTTAGACACTGGGAAATATGACGGATTCGAATAAACTCTTCACCTCAAATTCCTCTAAAACCAATTCCTCAAAGAATGGGAATCCTAAAATGCCTCCACCGCTGCGAAGCGACCGTTCCCGGAACTGGTGTGGCCAGCTTGGCGTTGCAATACGGAGGCTGTTTGCGTGACACTCCCTCCGTCTCCCGCCTGTTCTCCCGCTGCGTGGGTGCCATGGCAACGGACAGAGAGCGCAACCTGGGTTCCGGAAGCTAGAGAGCTAAAGCTTGGAAGCTACCGGGGTCAAAGGATGCTGAGTCCGGAGCGCCTAGCCCTACCGGACTACGAGTATCTGGGTAGGAGCTTCCTTCAGCTTCGGGGAAGGAAAAAAGTGCAGATGAATTAGGCCGGGGTCTGAGAAGAGGCGGGGGCGGGGTCTGGGCGAGAATAGGTTGGGGTGGAATGGGGAGGGTCGAGGAGAGGGGCGCGTTCTAGGGCCTGATCTGTAAGGCCGAGCGAGGCAGAGAACTGCATCTGGGAGGTGGGGTGGGGCATATAAAGAATGTCTGAAGTGTATGGGCTAGAGCTCAGGCAATGTGAATTCTGTTCAAAGTGGGATAAATTGGAGTTGAAAATACGCGGCCTTTTGGGGGTGTTATTGATGTGGAGTAACCTTGGAAGCTGAAGTGCCAAATCAGTCATTCATTCATTTTGTTATAGCGACAAGGAACATTTTTGAGCTTTTTTTTTTATATTAGGCACTGTACTAAGCATTTTACATGCATTCTTTATTGAATCATCACAACAACCCTAGGAGGAAATACGGTGTTTTTTCTTCCATTTTGCAGACGGAGAAACTGAGACTGAAGAGGTAACTCACATAAGTGAGGCCACACATCTAAAAAATGTAGAGCTCGGATCAGAACCTAATTTGCCCACTCCAGAACTTGAGCTCTCGACCACTATGGCTATCGCTCTTTTTTGAGCACCTTCAGTTGTGTAAGGCATTTACTGGATAAAAAGAGGATGTGTGCACACAGGTGTTTAAAAATTAAGACTTTATTTTCTAGAACAGTTTCAAGGTTACAGAAAATTGAGCAGGTAATTATACAGCATTCTTATATACTCCCTCTCCACCCCCACTCAGCGTTAGTACGTTAGTGTAGTACAATTTGTTAAAATTGATGAACTAGTATCAATACATTATTAACTAAGGTCCATAGTTTACATTATGGTTCATTCTTTGTGTTGTCAGTTTTGTGGATTTTAACAAAAGCATAATGTCAATGTATCTGCCATTATAGTATTAGGCAGAATAGTTTCACTGCCCTAAAAATCATCTGTAAGCCACCTATTCTTCTTTACCCCTGAGCCTCAACCCTTGGCAACCATTAATCTTCTAAATGCCTTCAAAGTTTTACTTTTCCAGAATATCATATAGATGGAGTCAGACAGTATGTCACCTTTTATATATACTGTGAAAGAAGTGGCATCTTTCATTAAGCAATATGCATTTAGGTTTTCTTAGCTTGATTTTTTTAAATCACTGAATACTATTTAATTTATGGACATACCGTACACATTTTTAAATGAAAAAATGCTGGTTAAATTTTTCGAATTGGTAATATAGAAACTGGATTAAAAAATATTAAAACCTTTATAGTGAAAAGTCTCCTCCCATCCCTTTCCCACCATCTGCCAGTTCTTATCCATACTCAGCCCCTCACCAGTAAACATTATTACTAGTTTCCTGTGTTTCCTCCCAGAGTTTATTTTATTATATATATAAGGGAGAATACAGTGACTACTTTTTTTCATTTAATATATTTCAGTAATTTATCAGTAGAGAGGTTTCTCATTCTTTTTTACTTTTTAGCTGGATAGTATAAATAATTTAACCAATTCTTTATTGGTAGACAACAGTTGTTTTTAGCTTTTTGCTATTATTAAAAAATATTGTCTTGAATAACCTGCAATTTTGTTCCTTTACTAGTATATCTGCAGGGATCAATTCCACAAAGTGGAATTGGCAGGTCAGGGGTATATGTACTTTAAATATTTATAGATATTGCCAAATCGCCCTTCCTGGAGGTTGTACCGTTTTATGCTGCCACTAGCAATGTAAGAGTATGCCTGTTTCTTCATAGTCTTCCCAACAGAATGTATTAAACTTTTGGATACTTTCAACTTGTTAAGTGACAGATAGTCTCAGGGTAGATTTAATATGCACTTTTTAATGAAGTTGAACATCTCTCATCAAGTTTAAGAGCTATTTCATTTTTCAAGAGATATATATTACGTATATATATATAGTATAAAGAGAGGTGTGTGTGTGTGTGTGTGTGTGTGTGTGTTTAGAGAGAGATTAATTGACCACATCCATTAATCAGCCAAAAGGGCATAGTTATATGACAGATAAGTTTGCATCCAATGAATAATAATATTGATGTCTAGCAATACCTAGACTTTTGCTAAAGATTTTACATATTTTATCTTATTTATCCAGTACTCAATGAATCTATGATATATTTGAAAAGCCTAGACTGTTGTTCCTTTCTTTGGGTGTTTGCCATTTAAATTATGCATTTAAATGTCTTAACTCGCTGTCCTAATCATCATCTGGACATTTAGATTACCCTAAGCAGAGTCATACTATTTACTTACTTACTTACTGGCTTTCTCATGGTTCATCAAAACATACAACTCTGCTGAAATGCATTTGTCTATAGTCGAGAACAACCCCTGCCCATTACAATTTGGTCTCTTTTAGAGGCATACAGTTTTTTAAGCAGTCACTCTCAATTTAATGACCATTTAAAACCACTCTCCATAGATTAATAAAATATTTCCTGATTTAAAAATTTAAATACCTGTGATTTGTTTTTCTTTTCATTCTTTCTTTTTTCTTAAAACAAAACAAAACAAAACACATCTGTAGGCCTAGAGAAGAAAATACATTTAGAGAAAAGAAAATTACAGAGACTGGAATGTTCTAAGCATTCAGTGAAGCAAAAAGCCAAAGCTGAGTACCCCTTGGTAAGTGTGTCTGGGACCTCTTTTCAGTATTGTAGTGTAAATTACAGGAATACCTATTCAATGAATACCTATAGAGTTCCTTTTCTACCTGCTACCTTGGGCTTATATTTGCCCTTTCAGCTATTAGTGAAGAAAACAATCTTTCATCATGTTGGGTAAACTGATCTGTTCTTCCACTGACTTTGTGGATTAGGAACCTGTAATCACGGCCTGGAATGGTTTAGGGTCTTAAGATCATCGTTACAGAATCATCTTAGTGATGATTCTGTAACGATGATCTTAAGACCCTAAGATCTTCATGCTGCAGTCATCAGAATGTAGTGATAGAGATTGCGCTAATGCCCAGGCCTGAATAGAAAGATGAGAGTTTGGTAAGGAGATGAAATAAGTAAGTATCTCCTTGAAAGATTTCCAGCCTTATGAATACTTCTTGGAAGCTTCTGCCAGAGGCTGAGGTGTGTTTCTGTGTCTGATTGGGTGTGGAGAGCTCTCTAGAGCCCAAGGGCATCCTGTTCTGGTTCCAGGTGTACAAAACACAGCACCTACGTGCTGACCTGAGTATAAGCATGAGGGTGTAAAGTTTATTTTTTACTCCACCTAATTTGGTGAGGTACATGCTTTTACTTATGCTCCAAGTTGCCTCTTCTGTTTCCATGGAACTTGCTTATTTTCACTAAGGTTGGTAGTGGGTTGGCATAATAGATAACTCTAGGAAGTCAGAGATGGTCTTTCTCCTTTGGAGACTTTTAAAGGAATCACAATAAATTAGTTAGTTTTTTTTAAGCTGTAGTTATTGAGTACTTCATATATATTTAGCACTGTGCTTTATCTCATTTAATCTTCACAATCACTACACGAAGTAGGTATTATTATTAGTCCCACTTAGTAATTATTAATATCTCATTTTACAAATAAGAAACTGAGGCTTGGAAAGACTAATTGATTTGTGCAAAGTCACATAGGTGATACTGCATGGCAAAGCATGGATTCAATAGTCTACCAAGAAGATAAAAAGAAACCAAAACACCTATTACCTATTAGGTTGGAACGCTGAAGCAGTTCATTAGTTGCAAATAAGTTTCCTGAGAACAGGAATTGTGTCTTACTCACTTTGTATACCTACCCACCTTTTACAGCATAGACACCTAATACATATATGTTAAATCGAATATGAATAATCTGACTTTAGGGTAACCCAAATATGAGCAGCTAACAACAGCAGCTAAGATTTATTAAGCACTTACTATGTACCAGGTAACGTTTTACTTGTTTTACATATGTTAATGCATATTTATGCATAGTTTCAATTGTCTTCATTTCACAGATAAGGAAACTGCAGCACAGAGATATTAAAAAACTCGTTAGTAAATCATGGAGGCAGAATTCGAATCCAGCAGCCTGACTCCAGAGTCCACACTGTTAAACTCCATGCTGTAAATACCTGGAGCAACTCCAAAAATGAGGCTCTGGCTATTACATAGACCTATGCATGGATCCTGAAGTGAGTTCAGGTGGCTCCAAAGGCTTAATTTAACATTTCTGCCAGGAGGGGGCATCCTAGGAATCAGCATGGATCAGGAAATAGTAAAAGTCCAGTTTCCTCTTGCCACTGGACTCACTCATCTCTTAGAGGCAGGCAAGAGGAAGATAACTTCTAAAAATAAACCACTTGGCAGAGTTTTATTGACGGTAATCGATTTTAAGTAGCTGTGTGGCCTTGAAGAAGTTACTTAACCTCTCTGTGCCTTAGTTTCCTTATCTGCAAAATATGGATAATAATATAGTACTTACCTCATAGAGGTAAACTTTTAGAGCAGTGCCTGGCTGCTACATTGTGTCTATATTGTAAAAAGAGGGTGTACAAAGATGAGTAAGATATTTTTCCTTTTAGAGCACGTGGGTAGGTGCTCAATAAATACTAGCTGCTGTTATTACTATACTTTTATAAAAATATGTTATACATATGTGGCAGCCATGAAAATGCACCTTTATGATCTACTGTGGGGAGGGGAGAGTGATTGACTCCCACCCTCAGCTTTGAATCCAACACCTTATTCACACTGAGATCACACTTCCCACAGGCTCTTCCCAGCCAATGACTGGGTGGCATAGAACCACTTCTGGGAGATGTGTGACTCTGATGGGGACTTTGGCTTGAGGAGTCCCACTGCACTGCGGTCTAATTTTCTCACTCTCTCTTTTTTATAAAAGTCAGCCCTGCTTTGTGGTCTTTCAGCTCTCCCAGCCTCCTCCAGCTTTCTCCCCATTTTATCCTATGGGCGTTTCCCACAGTATATCTTTTGCAAGTCTGATCCTGTCT